ATTGAGTCATATGAAATGGATGCTGCTGGTCCAATGACTTGACCTTTCTTATATGGGTTAGGCTAACTCACCTGGGCTCACCAGTTCTTGGGGTGGTAGGTAAGTCTGTACCCTTTTCTGCAGAGAATTTTCTACACAGAAATTTTCCACACCCTTTCTAAGCAGAACTCTCAAGAGTTAACCCAGATGAGGAAAGAAAAACCTTGCATTAGAATTGCAGAGTACAGCTGGACATTGTGCACAGCAGCCTAAAGATCTAAATCCTCTGCAAGCAGATTCAGACAGGAGTCAGTCTTACAGGTGGCTAAAAGGAACATGTGGGCTTTTAATTGAAATGGTGATTATAAAGGTCCCACAGAAGAAAGGAAGTTCCAATTTCATACACTTGATTTAATAGATTAGAATTCATTCATTTATCCATTGACTCAATTTTTCTTTTCTTTTTTTGGTAAGGAAGATTAGCCCCGAGCTAACATCTGTGCCAGTCTTCCTCTATTTTGTATGTGGGTCACCACCACAGTATGGCTTGATGAGTGGTGTAGGTCTGCACCCAGGATCCAAACCTGCGAACCTGGGCCGCTGAAGCGGAGCATGCGGAACTTAACCACTGTGCTACCAGGCCAGCCCCTAACGCTCTTCATTCATCAAATATTTAAGTGTTAGTAAGTGCTAGGCAATGAGGAAATGGGACAAGGCCTGGTACCTGCTGTCACAATTTGTCTTGTGGTGGCATACCTGCAAAAAAGTAAACAGGCAATTATACTGTAAATAGGAGTCCCACTACAGAAGGAATTCAGTGTGTGGAGAGCAAGGGAACCTAAACTAGACTTCTGAATACTTGGAATGAAAACATGTATTTTCCCACAATTAAAAGACAACAACAGGGGCCGGCCCCGTGGCTTAATGGTTAAGTACACGCACTCCGCTGCTGGCAGCCCGGGTTCGGATCCCGGGCGTGCAGCCACGCACCGCTTCTCCGGCCATGCTGAGGCCGCGTCCCACATACAGCAACTAGAAGGATGTGCAGCTATGACATACAACTATCTACTGGGGCTTTTGTGGGGAGGAGACAACAACAACAAACTACGCTGAGACACCAGTTTCAACACAAGATTGGTAAAAAAATCAACAAGCTTGATAGCCCCCCATGTGGTTACACCATGTGGGCAATGGTACAGGGAAAGAGGCTCCTACACATTGCCACCAAGGCAAACTAACAATACCTGGCAAAAATATACATGCACATACCCTTTGACCCAGCAACTCAACTTCTAGGGATTATCCTAGATATGCAGGGTCACACATGCCAAGTATTGTCCAAGGTTATTCACTGCAGCATTGTAATAATTATCCATCAATACGGAACTGATTCAATTCCCATTACTCTTTGCTCAAAAACTCCAGGGGAAGAGTCCTTTCCAAGGCATACAAGGTCCTATATGACCTGTATCCTACATCCCCCTCCCTTCCTATGCGATCTTGTCCCTCTCCCCTGTTCACTTCATATGGCCTCCTCACCCTCCAACTCAAACTACTTCAGGGCCTTGACACTTACTGTGCCCTCTGCCTAGAACACTCTTTCCCCAGAAATCGACATGGCTTATTCCTTCACTTGCTCAAATGTAACTGTAAGAGGCCTCCTTAGACCACCCTTTACACAAAAGCAACCAACCCCCTATCCTTTTCACCCTGCTTCACTAGTCTCCATACCAGTTTTTACCCACCTGATATTTGTTCATTTGTCTCTCTAGAACTTAAGCTCCATGAGGATAAAGACTTTGTTCACATCTGTATTCCAAGGCTAGCAGTACCTGGCACATTAAAGAGGCACAAAAGTTTATTGCATAAATTATGCAACATCCAGGTAACTAAATAATATGCAACATAAAAAAAAAAAGGAAGTGCCATTTTAACTTTTATGGAAAATCCCCAAGATATGAAATGAGAAAAGGTGTATATATTGTGTAAAAAAAAAAATATCTATGTATATTTGCTCAGGCTATATAACTAACAATGGTTGCCTTTTGGGAGATAACTGGGCAGCTGAATCCGGTAGGGAGCCTTCTCACTGTATACGTCTTTAAGTATATTACCAAGTCAAAAAATGAAATGAAATGGAAAATAGATTGGGCCAGTGGCCTGTGGGAAAAGGAAAAAGCACTAGGTTTGAGAAGTGGCCTTGAGGGCTTAACAATTGGCTACTGCATTCAACACGCTCCAGAATTTTCCTTCTATCCAGCATCTTTTCCCCATTAAGTCTGGAAAGAAATAGCCAAGTTGTTAACAGTATCACCTACAACGGGTAGGACCATCGGTTCTACATTTTGTTCTTTTTATTCTGACTTTTCCATAATATGGTTTTGTTTTAGAAGAGAAATAAGGTGTTTTATTGATTAAAAAAGCAAGGGCTTTGAGACTATAGGTAGGATTCAAACTTTCCCTAGCTCCTAGCAGGTTAATAGTACAGTATTAAGTTGCCAATATCTCTGAGCCCATTTCCTCTTCTGTGAGATGGGGTCAACAGTACTATTTTGCTGTGGGGATTAAGTGACAATGTCCTATGTTATTTTTACTAGCATAGTATTTTTTTCACATCTTATAGGTTTACTATCAGGCTTTGAAACTGACTACTGGTGCTGTTTTTTCCCCTTAAGATAGTTCTGGATATAACAGCTTTAACACTATTGACCATAAACCTAGGCATCTTTGCCCCATTTCTTTGCCTTATCATCAGTTCTCACCACCCTCCAAACACTCCAAGACCAGCCAGGCCCCTAGTATTCGTTACTTTGACCTTCTTTGCTTCTTCATGTCTTTCCAGCTATACAATTCTGTGTACGTCTTCCAAGTTATATAGCCCTCCCTTCCAAAAGTCTCCAAGCAACAGTTGCTCACTAAGAGCCAGACCTAATGGATTATTTGCTATTATCCTTCACTCTGGTAACTCTTTGCCAATTTGTCAGTTTTAGAGCTTCCAATTCCTATTAGCTTAATGTATCTTGGAAATCACCGTGCTCCTTTAGACTTCAAGATAGGCTACACAAAGATGAGAATCACAATCCTATACCACTATTCATTTAACCAAAAAAGTCTCAAATTGATAGCATTTCAAGACCCCCCGAGATTTTATTCTTTGTCCTCAGGAGAGAACAGGGCAAGATGGTAGGACCATACTTGCACTTGATACTTAGCCTAGTTCAAAGCCCAAGGGAGAACTACCACTGTGAAGTTTAGGGTATGCATTACTTACCTCTGTGTACCTAGGTGAGATGACCAAGATAAGGTTCTATGTCCAAAGCACTCAAATTAGCTACCAATCAGTGCCAGGTTTAAAATTTAGAAGGAAAGAGTCTGGACCAGCACTTTTCAAGTCAGTCACATAATCAATTGAGCAGTCCCAATCTCTAAATACAGAAAAAAAGGGCACAGCACCAAAGTGTATCATTTTAAAATGTATATTCAATACAGGGGCACTGAATTGCAGTCAAGGGTATGAAAGGTGTTGGCCTATCTACCCAGTATTCCCTTTCCCCTAAGAGGTGCACTTTCTGTACTTGTTTCTTAAAACCATTTTTGCCCCTACCCCTTCTCCATATCCTTTTTATCCTTTCATACTAATCTTTAGGATGCTGCTAGTAACCCATCCCAAAGCTACAGGATTAATGATTCCTACTCTTGGCTCAGAACTCCCACTTCCAAAAATTGAGTATCAGGATTTTTTGTTCTCTGCAGATTTATTGTTGAGTAAACTTATCTTTATATAATACAGAACAATTAAAGCTGGCGAAGTGCAACAAATAAGCCTGCCAATTATACAGTTTATACCAACCACATAATTCAGCCAATTGTCAAAATTCCAAAAACAAAGCACCCAAACTTCCAACATACTAGTGATCATTCAACCACCAAATAAATTTGAGGCAGACCAGTATTCTCAAATTGCAATGCTATCCAATAACTGTTGAAAAGTGTAAGAAAACGGAAAAGGGCAGATACCTGTGCCACCAGCACTGATTTTTTTTTTTTTTGCACCAAGGCTAGAGAATATACCTGGTAAAAGCTTAACCAAAAAACTCCAAATTAACTGTTACTGCCCTACTATACTCAAGATATTTAAAAGTCTGAATCAAGAATCTACTGGCTATAACATTCTAAGGTCTACCAGATGCTACAAAAAACTACATGAGGTGTTGCTAAATATAGGTGCAATTTACAAAACTGCTTTAGTCTTATTAACATTTCTGATTGACATCTTTAATTACTTTGCACCAGCCTGGCAAAATAAGGTAAAGTATATCGGTGGTCAGGAATTGAAAAACCTAGCTTGGGAATTAACAATCTCTGCTCAGAATAAGGCAATCCATTTGAAGGGACAGAAAGTATCTGGGCCAGAAAATTTTGCAAAGCTGGTTTACATGAAGATGTTTTGTCCCAAATTCAGACAATTTCTCAAACATGCAAAAATTTTGGTATAAAATTAAAGAAACAAGAGAACATTGAGATCTTCCTAAAATGGGAGTTCTAATTTGACACCATCCCATCTAAACAGCCTGAAAACCCCAATTAGTTACTGTACTTAAATAGCCTTCAGAAAATTCAGTTTCTTCAGCATCAAGTCCAAATACTACTTACACCACATTTAATAAACTCTTTGCTTAGTTCCTGTTGTGCTCATTTATAGGCAAATCAGTGATCCCTCTAGCTTGAAAGATTGAGATGATTAGCCTAATAGTATCCAATAACAACAACTCTAATAGATTTAGAGACTTGTCATTATGTATTCATGCTATTAAGTGGGACCGTAGTTCTTATCATCTTATCCAAAAAGCTCTAAGGGTAAAAAGGAATTTCCGAAGTGTATGTATACTACAGTTAATGATGTTCAAAATTAACACTATTATACTTTGAATGTAAGTCTGTATGAATATGGTTAAAATCAAGGTTGACTCCTAAAGCTTACACCAAATGGAGGAGTGTTAATATTGAACACAAATCAAAAATCTAGTTAGAAACATTTTATTTAAATGTGCCAAATAAAAACCCACATTTTCAGACCATAGGATGTTAATTAATACATTCAACGAAAATTTATGTTATTTTACTGCTGTGAATTTACAGAGTAATAATCCAGATCCATTTTGATTAGATGGTTGAAATACCCTTCCTAGGTTACACTTAACAAACATCACAAATCCCTTATAATAATGTAAACAAAATAACTTTTCCCTAAAAGGTGAACTTGAGAACTTCAGTCCACTCTTTCAGGACTTGCACTTCTTCTCGGACTTCCTGATGGGGAACGACTACAAAGAAAAACATTAGGTTTGGAACCAATTAGTGTCTACTGAAACTTATTCTTCTCATGTATATGTCAGGACAAAACTCAGTCTGAATAAATGCAAAGGTGGCCAAAGGTACTGAATTCCTATAGCAGAGATCTAAAAATTATGTTGGAGATTGTATATACAAATCCTTTGTCCCTGCTTAAGATTAGGCTTAATAGGCTCCTCGCTAAAATTATAAAGTTAAAGAGAACAATTATTTGAATTTTGGGGCTTTTTGATCATTAAGTATCAACTAAGCAAATAATAGTTCGGCTGCAAGATTTCAAGCTAAAAAATTTTCTTCATGTGAGCACTTCCTTTTTACCTATTGTCCCCATTTGGGAAAAGAAAAAGTACAGGTTTCTTAACATGAAATACTACAATTAAGGGTTCACAGGACTAACCACATCTAAATAATCATCCTAACATTTTATGACTAAATATTGCCAACGACAGTATAATCTGATGTTGAAGCAGGAAAAACAATCATCTCAGAAACTTAGAATCTAGTATTTTAATATATATAGCACCAATTCTCCAAAGAGCTCAAAGCTTGCAAAGTAGGCAGTAAGCAAACAAATTCTACAGAGGCCACATCTGACAGTTAAGATCTGGCAACAAATTATTTAGCTTACCTTCTTTTTGGAGATGGAGATCTGGACTTTGATCGGCTGTCAAAACATGAGAAATTCTATTAAGAAAAAATACTAACCAATCCCTTTCTTATAGTCACCATACCATGAAATGAACCCCCAAACTGTCCCTGAGCTTAGAAAGTCAGGCTGCAGTTAAACTGAAAAAGAGCCTACCAGTTTTTGCTAACAAAAACTGTTCTTCATTAAGGGAGCGAATTGCTTTATTTTATTACGATTACTCTCTTACACTCTACTCTAAACACAATTATCTCAGAATGCTTCTCCATGCACCTGTCAGTTCTAACAAGGGCCTCTTAATATAACCCAAAGTCACAAACTTCTTTCCCACTATAGCTTGACTTTTCCCTGGAAAGTTAGCCAGAAAAGGCCATGTATAAATGAAGTTCTAAAGTTTGGTTTTTTAATAAGATACTGTGTTCCCACTTAACACCTAGGCTTAAGAGTTAACACCAAATTTCAGCAATTCAAAACACTTTGAACTCTTTGGATATTGGTGCCATATAACTAGAAGAGCATTAATCAGACCTTTACCCTACCTGCTTCTTGGTCGTGAAAGAGACCTGGATCTTGATCTTGACCTCGACCGGGATCTTAATAAAAACAAAAATACAATTATACCAAGTAGTCTGTAGGAGTAATTTTCTTAAACACCTACTGAGCACCTTATTAGGTAGGCTAGGAATAGAGGGGCTAAAACTGAGCAAGATGCAACTCTTGCCTTATATCAGTCTGAGACTGGACAAATGATCACACTTTCAACCAGCTCTGATATCAAATAAATAAGTAAACACCATCTCAATTATTTGTTTCTATCATACTCAATGAGCTGAGTTGTCAAAGTTCCTGTACAGAGGCACAATATTCTTAAACATTGTGTAGTATCCAAGAGAAATAAAATAGAAGGTTTTCATTTGAGAAGACTGGTATGATTTAATCTTATCTTAAAAGAATCAAATCAACCTCACATAGACCCCTGAACTCAGACTTCAATTCTTCAGGCGATAAGCTCAATGAAAAAAGTCATGACTGGGTAAGGCTTTATTCTTGATCAACAAGCTATCATGGTTCAGGACCATCCATTTGTCATACAAACTAAATCAGGCTCTGACATGCACATCTTGGGGTCCTGCAATCAAATTAAATGCAATTTTCTAGAGAGGGCCCAGATCTTTCTCAAATGAACCACAAGTGTTAGAATTCCTGCATGTAAGGACTTTGTGATATTACCCAACAGCAGTTAACTCCCTAGTATATGGCCTAACCAAACACTTAGTTTAGACACTGAAATTTAAGTTAGAAATCAAAATGGGAACTCCAGCTTTTTTTACTCCTTTTGTAGAAAGTCTTAATAGAAGACAGAAATGGATAAAATACTAGAAAACGAGCTGACAATACTAGGTAGTTGTGGCTGTTCAGTAGTATCACAAAGTCCTTAAATGCAGGAATTCTAACATTTGTGATTTGAGAAAGATCTGGACTCTCTCTCTCTAGAAAATACATCTAACTTGATTGCAGGACCCCAAGACATGTATGTTAGAGTATCATTTACCTATACAATAAATATAATCTGACTCCAAAAGTTTTCACCAACCTCTCTACCCAAAGTGTTCACTGGAATGATCTGAGATTTGTGCTTTAGACCCTCCCTCTACCATGGCCTCTTTAACAACCCTTAAAATCTTTACCTGGGCTTTTCTGCATCTGTATATCTAGAGTAATATCCATTTACAAGTCATGTATAAATTCAACTTTTAAATCTCAAATAAATATTTTCTGAGGCATTCCATTTCAATTATGTCCTTAAGAAACTCCACTGTTGTCATTAAGACATGGCAATCCAAATATACATATTAGGGAAAAAAACTGTTACATACTGGAAATACCTCGATCCTTTTACAGAACCAGACCTAGATCGTCTGAGTGAAGCTGATCTTGATCTCCGAAGAGACACAGATCTTGATCGTCGAGGAGACGCTGATCTTGACCTAAAAATTAAATCAAAGAAGTTTTAAGTCTGTCTCCCACTGAAGTCTTTTATTGCTTGTTAAAACTTGAATTAAATAAGATCTCTCACCTCCTTCCCCTGCTCCTGCTCCGTGAGCGAGAGTATCGCCTACCTCTGGATCTCGAATGTGATCTAGACCGTGACCTATTTTTCAAGTTAGAAAACAACAAAATGTCAGATGGCAACTCGTTTTTAGAGTTTGTGTGCCTCTGCTGAAATCAAATCTCAAAACTATTTAAATTTAGTGTCTCATTTGGAAATAAACTCTGGGCCTATTATTGCCACTTTTTTTTTTTTTTTTTTTTACTACCTAAAAAAAGATTTGTTAAAAGCTGAATTACATCTTAGAATTACATAACATAAAACACTGTAATGTGTATTTAAAATAAACCTTGCAAGTTTGCAGGTCGACCCTCTTTGGCCCATGGTCTAGTAGATCTAGACGATCTAGAAGTATCTATAGCCGATCGCTGCATCTAGATGTTTTCTTCAATCTAACGACGATCAAACTGACAGCCAAATGAGCCAGATGAGGCTTGATTGACGCAAGAAGATTTTTCTAGTTGGGAATGTGGTCAATCTGGTGTTCCTCTTTCTAAACCGGAGGGGGCCCCAATTGTAAGCCAAATTTACTGTTACGGCGATCACCGTCTCAAATTTTCTGCCCTTTAAAGAATAAGGTGAAGCTAGGTGTAGATGACTCGAGGGGATCTGGCCTCTTATGCTGATCACCTCAAGGTCTAGGAGGATCTTAATTGTCGGATTTGCAAGGCGCCTCAGCATGATATCATAAGGCTCGTGACATTCTGAATCAAGGCGACTGACTCAAACGAAGAAACCTGAAAGGTTTTGACCAGGTTGATTATTAATATATTAACATTTGTTTAATTAAACAAAAATTGTAAAATACACCTGTACAATTAACATTCAAGTTTATAGAAAAATACTAGTTTCTGCCTTGCTAATAAAAGAATTACTCGATTAACTAACATACCAACCATTCCCTTATTAGAATAAATACCTGCTTCTTCTTCGTCGGCTATAGCGATGACAATCATAAGCATAATGTCCCTTTTCGCCACACTCATAGCATCTATCATTGGGATCAAAGGGACGTCGGGCAGGTGGTCTATCAAAACGAGATCTCCGAGGCATGCCTGTTGATAGTTCAACCCTCACTCGGGATCCACAAATCACCCTACAAAAGAAGAGCAACAAAATTCTAATGCTAAAAAAAAACACGTGACTTCCATTTAGAACTTTCCAATCACTCTTTGCCCTCAGAAGTTTCAGCTATCTTTATAAGCCCTTCCAACTCCATCTTTGCCCCACCCTTCATTTCTTAATAAAATTATGATTAGCTATTCAGTCTCCTCCAGACTACAGAATCTAAGCTTAGCACCTAGCTCACTACCCAGCCCACAGGAATATTAATAAACATAAGTTTCACAACCAACATCTTACTTACTTTCCATCCAGGCCTCTCACTGCATCTTCTGCATCTCTAGGATCTTCAAATTCCACAAAGGCAAATCCTGGAGGATTTCTGGCAATCCACACAGTTCTTAACGGACCATAATAACTGAAAGCCCTTTCTAACTCTCCTTTGCCAGCACCAGTTCCCAGGTTACCAACATACACCTTGGTTTCTGTTTAAAAATGCAAATAGAAGAATGCATGTTACGCAAAATTTGCCCTAAGTTTGAAGGAATTCTTCGTCTTAAAACAGGCCATCCTTACGACTGCAAACCATGTTTAATGCTCTATCAAGGGCTGAATTAATGAATTTAGTCTTAAAACCAGCAAAGTCCGTAATCTTCTGAAAAGCTGATTTATGACAAACTTCTTAACATTCTAATACAAGGGGGAAGAAAACCTCCAAAACACAGCACAGACGCATGGTAGGATATTCCGAGGCGTGGGGCGGGCTCCGCCCCGGCCCCGCCCCCGAGCCCCGGCAGCCCCGGGCGCGCTGGGAGGAAGGAAGAGCCCAGCGTGCCGGTGACTCCGTCGGGCCACGGCGCGGAGTGCAGGGTGGAGGCAGCCGGGTGTGGCCCCGCGTCGTCCCGGCTACGGCTCCCCAGCCCCAGCCGCGAGCCGCCGGACGGAGCGGTGGGTCCACTAGGGCTCGGCGCCTCGGTTCGATGGAGAGGTGGGCAAAGCACCCAGTACTAACATCTCAGCGGGCCCCACTCACCGAGCCCCGCTCGTCACCTGTGTAATCGACTCTCGTCCCCACCAAAACCTGACAGGGAGGCGTCCTTGTCCCCTTTTTACTAATGAGAAAACAGGCTCAGAGAGGTGAGCCAGCTTGTCCAAGGCCACACAGTAAGAAGAGAGGGGAATCCTAGCACGAAATCTAAGCACAGAGTAAGTTCTGGAATGGCAAGGCCTTGCCCAAATGCCCCCTTCTCACAAGCAGGTCTTTCTGGGTTTAAGAATCTCGTTTTGGGTTCTTGGGTGTGAGCGTACACCCGTTTCTCACGTTTCCAGAGCACTTGGCAGTTTCTAAGAGGCTTTTTGCCTGCAGGAGCTCATCTGAGTTCCAAATTGGTGGAATTTGTTGCTAAATGCATGTGGTAGCTTGTGTGGCATTGTGATTCAAACCCTGTGTTACCTTAAGCAAGGTACTTAACCTCTCTGTGCCTCAACTTCACCCTCTGTAAAATGGGATAATGCTATTATCTCATAGGGTTGCTGTAGGATTAAGTGTTAAATTAAGTAAAGCACCCAGAACAACCCCTTTATCCCTAGTTAGCTATCCTCAGATAGGGGGCCAAGGGAGCTTAGAATAATTGCCATTTCAATTATTCTGCCATCTCAGTTTGGGGTTCAAAAATTATTGCTGTCATAATTATAATTACTATCCCCATTTCACAGATCCAGAAATGGAGGCCTAGGGAGCTGAAGTTCTTTCCCAGCATTTCCACTGGGAGCCTCTCCTCCACCCTGAGGAATGAGGCCAGGGGTAAGCCCACCTTCCTCCAGAAACTGGCCTTCTGGCATCCCCGTGCTGAGTTTTCCCACCCTACCCTGCACCTCACTCAGGCATCAGTCCCTGGGAGAGCGAGTGAACACACAGAGGACCTCACCTACCACCAGTGCCCTGGCCCAGTGGCCTGGGCACCTGATGGCACCAGCCTCTTTGCTGGTTTCCTGGCCTCTGGGACGACGTTTCTAGTACCCTCAACTCAGTGGTCAGACCACTCCCCTGCTCATAATTCTGCACTGCTTCCCCAATGCTAATAGACCGGCTCTACATTCTTGTTCCAGGCAGTCAGCGCCCAGCATCATCTGGCCCCTGCCTTCTGTCCTCTGTCATTATATACACACATTTTACATGCTAGGGATACACAACGCCGGACAACTGGGAATTCCCAGAATAAGCCAGGTCCTTTGTACCTCGGATGGGACTGCACATGTTGTTCTCTGCCGTGCCTGGAACATTTCCCTTCCTGTCCTCTGTGCCCCAACACATACACACTCTCTCTCCCTCCCCTTCTCTCATTCCCTCCCTCCAAATGTTTGTTTGCCTGGAAAATTCCTCCTCATCCTTCAAGTCTCAGTCCAAAGGAAGCCAAAGTGCCCCTAGCACAGACTTGGAATCTCCTTGTCCAGCGTTCCCTGCCCAGTGCTCCCCGCATCTGTACATTCCCCCACTGAAGTGAGGACCACAGTGTGTTCTACCCAGTTACACGGCATTATCCTCACCAAACTGTGAGCTCCTTGTGGGCAGGGACAGAGTGTCCTTTGGCTCTGTCTCAGAGGCCAGCCCAGGGCCTCAGCCCATGGTAGGTCCTTAGGAACAGTGGTCAAATGAAGAACGCACAAATGGAGGAATGACTGCCTTACCACAACTTGCCCTGGTAGGACAGAAATGACACAGCCTCAGGACCCAGGAGTGAGTTAATAACCAGAGCCACCAAATTTGGAGGTTATCCTCTCCAACCATTACTCTCTTGAGAATAACAGTGTGAGGCTCAGAGAAAGAAGACAATGGCCCAAAGCCACACAGTTTAGGGGCAGAGACAGAACTCAAGACCAGGCTTCTTGGCCCTTGACCTTGGGCTAAGTTCACCATCCATCCTGAGAGATGTTTGAAGCTGCTCTAGGTAATTGTCAGCGAGGCTACACCGGCAGTTCCAACCCTCAGCTCCTGATTTTCCTCATTTCCAGATGAGAGCATAGCTGCAAAACTCGCTGAGCCTCAGTTGCCACATCTGTCTAATGGGAAAATCCGTGGAGACGCTCAGGGCTGCAGGGAGGGCTCAGGGAGATGAGGATGCACAGGGATGGGGAGCTCTGAGGCCAGCCACAGCAGGGTTCAAATCTTAGCTCTGCCCTTTGTGTGACCTAGAACAAGTGATTTCTCCTCTCTGAGCTTCATTTCCTCATCTGTAAAATGGACAATCTGAACCGCACCTGGTATGCCTGGTGGTGAGGGTTAAATGCAATCAGGCATGCCGTGCAATGAACACAGAGCTGAGCACGCCGTCGGTGCACAATACATGCCGGTTATTATCACCATCATCATTATCTCAGGGTTCTCGTCTGTCCCCATTTCTCTCCCCCGCTCTCCACCAGGGACTTACCTGGCCCCTCCTGCCAGACCTGCTGCGTGTGGGTGACCTTTAGTGTAGTCTGATAAGCTAATTCCGGCCCACGGCTTGTAGGTACCACCTGCCCAGCTAACCGTGTTTGCCTGACCACCTTGTGTCTTAACCCCCAGAGAGCAGCAGAGAGGAAATTCTGAAGTGGATGGGAAAGCCCCCCACCATTATGCCTCTGTGCATCTGGATCTCTCTGAGCCCTCCCTGGAGCCCTGAGTGTCCCATAGATTTTCCCCATTAGACAGATGTGGCAGCTGAAGCTCCATGAGTTTGGCTGCCGCCGTTCTCTTATGTGGGAATGAAGAAAATCAGCAAGAAGCTGGCTGCTCTAAACCCTAGCTGTGCGGCCTCGGGCAAGTCAACTCACCTCCCTGAGCCTCAGTCCCTTCATCTATAAAATGGGTATACCGTCTCTAACATGTCCGGCCTAGTGCTGGACCCAGAGCCAACGAGAGTACTAGAGTCAGCCTGTCACTGAGAGCAGAGACCCCACGAGGCGGCCTGTGGCCCCTGGAGATGGTCAGGCCCCTTTCCTCCCACTGTGTAGGGGGCAGGAGGGAGCAAGTCACAGCTGCCTCCCCTCACTGCCCTTGAGGAAACCCCGAACCAGAGGCCTGAGTGTTTACAGCCCTCTCTGGGCAGGGGCTGGGTTACGTAATGCCAGATGTTTGTGAAACTGGCTGAGGCCCAGGTCTGAGACACCCTTTGCAATCCTAGAGCCCCTGCAGGCCTTCTCTTCCTCTCCTCCGTCCCCCCAGCCTGCCTCCCCTTGGCCCGGTTGCTGACTGGGAGCTTTCAGCTGTGTAGATTATTCAGTCACCTCTCACCCTGAAAGCTGACGACAGCCCAGCCCTGCCCTGGAGGTGGGAGATCTGCTCACTCACAGAGACCACAGGCCCTTAGGACTCTGCTTCCAGCTCTCCTTTCTCTTGTGGGGTCCCCAAGTCCCTCCCCCTCAGCCCCCACTCTCTCTTCTTTGACTAACCTCCTCCCTCGCCTCCCCACCCACCCTCACCCCTCCCACCCCACTGCAGCCAGCCTACCCTTTGCCACCTGAGGACCCCCAGAGACAGCAGGAACGGATTGAACAGCGTGGGACGGTCCCCGGGCATCCTCCATGAGGTCACCAGTCGGCCCTTGAGTGGGCTCCCCGCCTTGCCCTCCGCTGGCCTCTTGTCTGCCTGTCAAACAGGGTCCAGTGTTGGCCCCCAGGCCCCTCTGGTGGGATGGGGGAGCCCCTGACTTGGCCCCCCCTGCCTGTTGTGCCATGCCCCCCTCAAAGGCCCAGGGTTCCCATCTCCCTCCTCTCCAGAGCTGCTGAGAAAAGAGCTTGTTAACTCATTCAAACTACGCGGTGTTTGGTTGACAGGGATCCTGCGGCTGCGCCCTTGGGGACGTGCAAACCACAGGTGGCCATCGGGAGGGGAGTGCGGACCACAGACGTGTGCTCAGCCCGCGTAGGGTTTTCAGATTATTTTGTGTTGGGTTCCAATGTTAAATAATCAGGAGGTTTAACATAGAATTACATATTTCTAGTTTCTCTTGAAATATCTAAAGTTGGGGAAACTCTGGGCCCCTCTTCCCCATGGCAACAACCATCTGGAGCCAAGAGGTCGCACAAGGGCCCCCCAAACTCAAGTCTCCCTTCTGCCTACTCTCCTCACCTTTGTGAAAGGAATGAGTCACAGACTTCTACAGCCACCCCCAACAGACCCCCAAAAGCGCCCCCTTTGGAGTCATCCTTGTTGGGGAAACTGAGGCCCCAACGAAGCAGAGGAATTTGCCCAAAGTCACACAGCAGGTCACTGGCCGAGGCAGGACAGAGTCCAGTGCCCAACTCTCCAGAATCCAGAGGCGGAACGTGAAGCATCAAAGCACAGGTCCAGGGGGACTTTGGGGGAAGGACCCCACCCTGCCACCACATCCCCCATCACCGCCCTGACCACTGCCGCTCCAGTTCAGCTCTGGCCCACAGCCAGGCATGCAGAAGGCGCTCACTAAGGGTATGTGAGTGAATAAACGAATGAATGAGGCAGTTATCAATTCTGTCCAGTCCAGGCTGCCTGGGGGTGGATCGAGAGCTTTTCCATGTGGTTGGGACGGTCTATTTTGTGGGGACTAGAGGGGGACCACTGTATTGCTATTTCCTCTTTGTTCACGAAACTCCGGCTCCAGGAAGTGTGAAGAAAGAACCCAGAAAGAGGAAGAGCAGAGTTGCTGGAGCCCCCATGAGAGCTGGAAGTGCCTCAAGTGATCAGTCTCCTGTCCCCACCTGTTTCCCGATGGGAAGACCGGCCCCCAAGCAGTTGGAATGCTGGTGCTGCTGCTGTTGCCGCTGTGCGAGGCCGCGCGGGGAATGGTGCAGAGCCAGGAAGCGGCAGGGCGGGGGAACAGAGAGAGTGCTGGGTGGGGGGTCCCGAGCCCTAGGTTCTAGTTTGAGTCCAGCCACCTGGCTGAGTGACCTGATGACTCCCCTGCCCCTTGTTCCTGCATCTGCACAGTGAAGGGCTGGACAGAATCCCCCCAGCTCTGACTAGCAGCAGGGCCAGACTCGAGGGCTCCAGGCTGCCAGACAGATGTCGCCCCCAACCCAATCACACCTGGCTTCTCAGGGTTAGGTTAGGACAGGGAACATCAGGACAACAGCAGGACGAGGAAAACACAGCCCCAATAGCCGGTCTCCTTCTCCCCGCCTCCCGCTGCCCAGGGCCCTCAGCTCTGACCTCACCTCTCTGGAGGCTGAGGGTGATGAGAACAGTCTGTTTGGCAGGTCGTGGGGAGGGGTGGGGCAGAGCAGTGTGCTCCAGCTGCAGCCAGGCCTCAGAGCAGCCTCAGTGAGTCCCACCCCCTGCACACATCTCTCCCACTCCATGACCCTGGAGACCCTCCAGGCCCCGCTGACTGCAGCACCTCCTCATCCATCTTCAACCAGCTCCTGGAAGCCCTACCCTTTCTCCAGGCCTGGCCAGTCCTCCAGACCCAGAAAGACCTTGCTTTTAAAGACCATTGGGGCCAAACTGCCATTTGCCCAGGGAAGGGCAGTGACCTTTTCAGGGAGTCCTAGCAAGTCAGAAGCAGAGCCTTGGGCTTTAGACCCCGGGATCGTCCACCCACCCTGGTCCCCAAGCCAGAAGGTGGTTCTGCTGCCCAGCTCCTCCAGAGCCCCTCTTCTCAAGGCCCCACCACACACACAGATGACCCCATGGCAGAGCCAACTTTGGTCTGGATGACCCCAAAGCTCATCTGGACCTCAGCCCACCTCCAACCTGATTTCCCTCTCCTTCCCCTCCCTAAATCCCCAAACCCATGACCCAGCTACCGAGTCTGCCTGCTTCTTGTCAATCAGTGAGTCTTGCCCTCTGCTTGGTTCTGACTCTTCAGGCGTCTCTGATTGGAACTAGAGATAAGAAAGAACACAGCTTAGCCCAGGCTATTCCCCAGGGTTCATCCACCTATCCACCTTCTTATCCATCCATTCATCACCTATCCATCCAACATCCATCTAGCGTCCAACATCAATAGATCCATGTATCCATCTAACCATCCAACATCCATCTTACATTATCCACTCACTCATATATCCAACATCCATTATCCCATTTATATATCCATCCTCTTTTATTCGTCATCTATCCATCCATCCTACATTCATGTATCCTTCCTCAATCCGTCCAACATCTATTCATCTATCCTCCATCTATCCATCCTTCCAACATTCATTATCTATCCATATTCCACAACATTTACCCATCCATGCAACATCCATCCATCCATCCATGTTCCACCCAACATTCATCCATCTATCCATCATCCCACCCATCATCTAAGCAATATCCATCTATCTAACACCCATCATCTGTCTGTCATCCATTCATCACCCATGTATCCATCCATCTGCCCATCTGTCATCCACCCACCATCTATTTTTCATTTGTCCAACATATATCATCTGTCCACCACTCATTCACACATCCGTCATCCATCATTCATCCATCATCTACCCATTGACCCACCCATCCTCCACCTGTTGCTTGCATGCACTTGAGCATCCATGTATTCACTGATCAATGAACAGGCATTTGGTGAGTGAATAGGGAAAGGAAGAGTATCCTAGGCAGTGGGAACAGCATGCACAGAGGTAGGGAGATGTGTGCATGGACCTCTCCAGGCAGCTCAGCACAACTAGAGGGCAAATCTGGGATGCAAGGAAGGCCAGGAGACCCTGAATGCCATGCCGAGGATTTTCATAGAGGGTGAGCAGCTGGAGCACCAGCAGGACCTGTGACTGCCTCTGTTGTGTCATCTTTGAAATGTCCCTAACCACCTGACGCCCCAGCCCCTCCCCAGTCACCATCTCCTAACCTCCCGGGGACCCCTGAGCCTCACCATGGACTAACTCTGGCTGCAGAATCCCTCTGCCCTTCCTCCTCCCATTTGACCAGGCCAGCCTACAGCACCCCAGTGTCCACTGGGGCACAGCCTCTGGCCCTCCCTGAGCAGCCTGTGGTCCACCTGCCTCCCCAACAAGCCTCACAGCAACTTGAGGGCAGGACCAAGCTGGCTCATCCCCGCATGTCTGGTGTCTATGCACTGAGTTGACTAGAGGAAATTAGTAAAAGACACAGGGAAATAGAGGGGAGGTGCCTCCTCAGTCCTGCTGTGGGCTCAGAGGCATCACAACATGGTGGTTAAAGCTCAGGTTTTGGACTTGACACTTGGATCTCATTTCTCATGACCTATACATGTGTGACTCACGGGAAGTTCCTAACAAGCCTGAGCCTCAGTTTCCTCATCTATAAAATGGAGACAGTGGCAGCTGCCTCATGTCCAGCCGAAGCACGTATGGCAAAGCGTGTGCAGCACTAAGCCCGGGCCCCGCAGGCTGTGAGTCCTCCCCCGCCATCCACACGGGAGGCAGCGTTGGACTGCACACACGGCGATGAGGAGGGTTTGGATGAATGAGCGGGAGCCTGTCAGGGTGCCTGTCAGGGAAGTCGGTCCCATTTTACAAGGAAGACCAGGGCCGAGAGAGGCTAGGTGTCCGAAACCACGTGCTGTGTTCCCGGGGAGCAGAGGCTGGGTTGCAGGTCTGTGGCCTCCAGGCAGCCCCAGAGTACCACTGACTGTGACCCTGCCGCTGGACCAGTGAGGCAGGGAAGGGACCTGGGGAGCACCTACTGGGTAGGCACTGGGCCCACTTTGCACACAGGCTCTCACATAAGCAGCCTGTCCTGGCAGCCGACTGAACCCAATGAGCATTGAGGCAGCCTCTTCTCTGTCCTGAGAGGAGCTGGAGCAGCCAGAGAGGGGTAAGTGGGGATGTCTTGGGCTTTGAGGAATACCGCAACGGGAGGGGACGTGACCACATGGGCTGCAGTCCCAGGCAGGGTCAGGTAGGAGCCACCAGAGGCAACACGGGCCAGGGGTGTGGTAGGGGTGGAGATGGCCCTGGGCAGAGTGTCTTGCTGGGGGACCTCAGGGTGATCTGCACTGAGCCGACTGGGGTTCCACCCCCGCCCCAGCCCTTACTAGCTGTGTGATCTTGGGCAAGTGGCTGTCTATCTCAGTTTCCTTATCTGTAGATAAACAGTGCCTTTCCCATCCGGTTGCTATAGAGATTAAATGACAAAAATAGCCATGCAACATTCACACCAGGGCTTAGCACATAGTAAATGCTCAAAAAAGTGTTGGTCATGGTCACTGCTGTCCGGTTTGGTGGTTGGAAAAGGTTTTGGTCAGGAGAGAGGATTAGGGCTGAGCCTTGGAGGGTGTGCAGGAGCTGAAGGGAGACCTCTCTAAGGACACTTGTCTGGGGAGGGGCTGACTTTCAGGCTGCCCGTCACAGGGGAGACTGACTTACCTCCCACGGCGGCAAGCTGGGGCCCTCTGCAGGGCTCCTGCTCCCCGGCTGGCCCATCTCCTCCAGACCAGCTGTAGTCGAGGTCTCTGGTCCACTCGTCACTTTGGTCTTTGGCCACTGGGTGGAGGTGCAGGCAGGGCCAGGCGGTTGGGGCAGACTCTGAGGCCACCGCCCAGGGCTGTGTCCATTGACTAGGGTGGCCTCGGCCCAGCCTTCAGGTTGGCTGTGTTGCTCTCGCTCCAGGGCACCCTTTGTGCCCGGGGAACCCAGCTCTGGCCCCAAAGCTGTGACCAGGCCACCCCAGTGTCCAGCTGGGTCCTTTCGGGACAGCTGGGCCTGCAGGAGCTCCAGGAGGCCTTCCCAATCCAGACTTGGAAGATGGGAAGTGAGCGTGGGCTCCTCCGTATGGGCCCAGGCCTCCTCTCTGGGCGCCCTGAGAAGGCCCGCCAGGTCCCTCCAGTCAAGCGCAGGTGGCCTCTCAGGGCCGTGCAGGTGTGGGCATGCTCCCTCGGCCCCCCAGCCCGCGGCGGTGGGTGTCTCAGGCCGCTGGGATTTTGAGAACTCTGCTTGGCCCACCCTGGAGTTCTCTGGGGGGCTCAGAGGCTGGTGGGCACTGGACAGCTCCTGCAGAATGCCCCAGCCCCTCTGAGCTGGCTTGTCGGGGGGCTCCTCCCAGGCCTCTAATTGCCGCCTGTGGCAGGTGGGGCCACCCAGCTGCCCCCAGCTCTCCTCAGACTCCCTGGGAGGGCCCCTCCTTGTTCCCTCAGGGGCTCTGGCAGCTCCCCAGCTGGGATCCCCAGGTCCTTGCCAGCCCCCCAGGCCTAGGTCCTCCTGGCTGCTCCAGCCTGTCTCCAGGTGTCTGTGAGGGCCCCGGGGTCCTGGCAGCCCCTCCTGACTCTGCCACCCCACCAGAGGCTGTCTTTGGCCTGCCCGGCCACTCTCCAGAGGTCTCTCTGTGCGCCGCTCCCTCTCAGGGGTCCTGGCTGATGTCCTTGGGGGCAGCGAGGACCCCTGGAGCCGCCGGTCCCCCTCAGGCCGCCTCTCGGGGCTCCTGGGATGAGGGAGCTCTGCTCGGCTCCGCCGGGCTGGTTCTGCCTGGTTCGCAAGGGGCTTGGTTACCTGAGGATGAGGTGAGGGGATGGATGAGGCTCCAGGACCCCAACTGGGTGGCCTCTGTCTGGGAAGATGGGAAACTGGGGTCTTAGCCAGGCCCCAGGGAGAGGCAAGCTGTGTCCTCCCAGCAGCCTGGATTAAAGCAGGTCAGAAAGTACCTGGGGTCTCTGGAGTCCCCCCCGGGGGAGTCAGCTCTTCCCTCTCACCCACTTTCCTCAGTTCCAGAAAGAGATCTGCAAAGAGCTGCTCACTTTCTGGCTTCCCCTCCCCCCAAGATATTGATTCCAACCTAGGCTATCAGGTGCCGGAATTTCCACACCAACACTCCATTCCACTGGGTCGGCCTTGCCCTCTAAAACTTGCTTTAAAAATACAAATCCCCACCCTGGAAGAGATCGCCCTTAGAGCTGGATTGAGACACCCGAGGCTTTCCCTGGAAACCTCTCAAGATAGCAGGAACCTAATGACAGAAGGGGCCAGCACGGAAAGGGCGTCTTCAAGGGACTAATTGGGGTCCTTCTCAATTTGCCAAGAGCTGCTGGCTTTTTGGGAGAGGGGGACACTGGACACCCATGATGGGGACTCTGACCCCTTCATAAAGGACCTCCCTTCCCAGGACCCCTGCCTGGCACCTGGGGGAGGAGAGAAGCAGTGGCCCACCCCTGCTGGGTGTGTGCAGGGGCCCAGGGCAGGCTGGCAGTGCTCACCTCCCTGCTGAGGGCAGGGCTGGACTGTCTTCGGAGAAGTTGGCTCTGACCTTGGTCGGGCCGCTGCGACCGCCCCTCGTGCCGGGCCTGGAAGGCCCCTGGTGCCTCGGACTTCCTATGAGCAAATGCAGCCGCCCCTCTGAGGGCCCTTGAGACTGCCCCATTCCCGGCACCCCAGTCCTCTACTCACACCCCCAAAGGAAGGAGATGTGGGAGATCCAGGGACCCACCACAAGCTCACTGAAGGGCCCTACGTGAAGGATAATCCTCTCAGGGCCTCAGTTTCCCCTTCTGAAAAACAGGGATGGTGGACACTGCTCTACCCTCCCTGCCTCATGGGGCTGTAGCAAAGATGAAATGAGAAAAGGGGGTGAGCAAAGGCGGGGGCTCCACCCTGGCCTTGACCGCCTCCTGTCTCCCTCAGTACTTCCTGTCTGACCACCACCCACCAGCAGCCCATCACTCACCCCCAGACAGAGGTTAGACTGGTCCTTGTGGGAATTAAGATTTATTGAGCACCTACTGTGTACCAGGCACTGTGCACATAGGATCATAAAGGCAGACATTCATTGAGCACTTCCTGTGTTCCAGGGGCCAAGATCTCATTTCATCTCATGCAACCCAGGAGGTGGGGATGGGAGACATAGAATGTTACGTGCCCCCGTATTCTGTTCTTTCTGCCCTCTTCCTGTCCGTATGGCACGTTTTGGATTTCCCAAGCCCACCTTTTTCCCCACCACACTGACTAACGGGATTCCAGCATTTAGCCTTGAAAACTCCGGGCCGTCCTAGCTGTTGGTAAAAGAGCTCTCAGCAAGATCAGAAGGAAGAAACGTCCCCTCTTCCCCCACAGCTCCAGAAAGGCCAACATCAACTGTCTCTGCAAATGCCATTCTAAGACACCTGGACTTCAGGCGCTGTTGCCACATGCACCAAAGATAGGTCATCTTTGGACCTCTGAGCTGTAAAAAGTCCCCCGTTCCAGTTAGCTGTCCTGCCCGATAATTGGTAGCCACGGTTATTAATATTCAACGTGACATCTTGGTGGAAAGGTACGCATGCCAAACAGAATCTGGGCACACATCTCTCCGCTCCCGTATGTAAGAGGTCAAAACAAAAGATCCAACCACCCCACTGGATATCTGTTTCAACAAGGTTTGAGAGTCTGACTTCATCTGCATTGACAAATGGAGCTGAGCCTCTCATGGCTGAACCGAGCCAGAAGCCTGAAAAAGACAACCAGGTGCCGAGCCCTGACTGGGCCACGAGAAGGGAAGTGAGACGCATCTCTGCTCGGGTCTCAGCGGGAACCCGTGCTCCGCGGTCTGCCTCCAGCGTGGGAGCCGTGCTGGAGCTCTGCAGGGGCTTTGGAGAGGAAAACAATTACGGGCTTGGGGTTTGTTGTTGCTGTCTCACGGCTTTTGCCAGGGTCATTAGAATCAGATCCATAAATCAGATCAGTTTTCAGCAGTTCTTAGCAGCTGACTCACAGGGAACCAAAGTTAGGGCTGCCTGATCAGGTTCAAGTTTTAATCTAATTTGCAGTGAGGGCGGTTCCTTGCTCTGTGAGATCTGAGGGCTTAGCGTGAGTTTGCCCCAGAACCGGGTGTGGGAACATCCATGAAGCAAAAGCCCCAAACATGACCAGGTGGGGAGGATAACGGAGGAAAATACTCATGCAGGGAGGCGAGGCAAATGTGTACTCTCTTTCGAGGGGAATGCATCTTCCATAGAAACTCTAGTTTGCTCAGTGATCGTTCCTTCTGAGAAGTGTCCTCCCATGTGGAATTGAGAGATAGGAGCGAAGGGCTCAAGAAGATTCTGAGACTCCAACAGAGACCCAGCCTTTCTGATGCTGAAGCAGCAGCGTCCCCTGGGCCGCCTGTTCCTGAGGGTTGGTGTGGCTGCACCGAGGGTGACAAAGGAAACGGGTTTCCTTTGGAAGTTTGGAAGGGCTCTTCTACCTCCAGAGAGTATTAAAGGACAAGAGCCATCAAGTCTAGCACATTCCATGAAGGCTCTGTTGTGAATTCAAGAGACTACGAAATGCTTCTATGATTCTAAGATAAGAGATTCCAAAGGCATCTAGGGGGGAAAATGAAGATATTAAGCCAAAATTCCTAATGCTTTAATGTGATAGCCCTTTAAGAAAAAATTTCCAGGCTCAGTTAGCACAATGCTTGGACAGAATAGATGCTCAATAGATACATGTTGAATGAGTAAGTGGGAGAAAATAAAAGTGCAGCTCTCCAGCCACCCACTCATAAATTTCCGTCTGCCCCTTACAAATACTTAAATAGGTTTTAAAATTTCATCTTCAGAGGACAAATGGTTTTCTACTTGGAAAATGTGCCATACAAGAGGAAAGATTTTACTCAGTAGAGTTATAAAACCTTGTTAAAAGGTAAATAATTGGGGCTGTCCCGGTGGTATAGCAGTTAAGTTCACGTATTCTGTTTCGGCAGCCGGGGGTTCGCCGGTTCGGATCCTGGGCACGGATCTACACACCGCTCATCAAGCCATGCTGAGGCGGCATCCCACATAGAAGAACTAGAGGGACCTACAACTAGGATATACGACTATGTACTGGGGCTTTGGGGAGAAAAAAAGGAAAAAAAAAAAGAGGAAGATTGGCAACAGATGTTAGCTCAGGGCCAAGCTTCCAAAAAAAAAAAGGTAAAAAATCTCCTTCGCTCAAATGTAAACATTAAATATATGCAATTATTTGTATATCAATTATACCTCAAAAAAGCTTTAAAAAAGTAATCTACTTCAAAGAGAATAAAATAAAATGAATAGAAGTAACTGTGTAAAAACAATTAAATGATTAATGAAAGTATAAACATATTCTGGACTTCTATTATAAACTCTTTATCTCTCTAAGTTATCCCCATAAGAAAAAAAAGAAAGAAAAAAAATTTAACTTTGTTTTAAAGACCTTAGTGTCCCTGCTGAGTTAACAGATAAAGTCAAAGATATGCAAATTGACATCAGACCAAAAATAGTAATCATAAAAAGACCAGAGACAAAGGGGGTTTTTAGGGCAGTGAAACTATTCTGTATGTTACTATAATGGTGGACACACATCATTATACATTTGTGCAAACCCACAGAATGTACAACACCAAGAGTGAGCCCCAGTGTGAACTGTGGACTCTGGCTGATAATGATGTGTCAGTGTAGGTTCTCGGATTCTAACAAATGTACCCCTCTGGTCTGGGATGTCGATAGTGGGGGCGTCCAGGCATGTGGGGGAATGGGGGTGTCTGGGAAATCTCTGTACTTTCCGCTTAATTTTGCTGTAAAACTGCTCTAAAAAATTAAAGTGTTTTTTTTTTTTTAAAAAAAGGCCAAAGAAAGAATTTCACTAACACTGGAGACCACAAAAGTTGTCACCTGGATGGTAAATAGGTCAAACTTACTAGAAAAGGAAATTTGAAGAATAAGAGATAAAGTTTCTCATGCAGATTCAAATCTAAGAGAAAATGTTGCCCAAGAGACAACAAAGAGAGGAATTCTAGATGCAAAATATTATGTGCTCCTTCAGGGTGATGGAAACGTTCTAAAATCAAGTTGCAGTGACAGTTGTACAACTTGGTCCCGGTAAATATACTATAATCCACTGAATTGTGTGCTGAAAGTTTTGAGTCTTCCAGACCTACTTTTTTTACTGTTTTCTTGACTCTAATGGAATTCCAGCCCTGATATTGAAAACTCCAAGGCTGGAACTGCTGGAGAAAGAAATCTCAGCCAGATGGGGAGGAAGTGTTTCCCCTCCCAGCGGCTGTGGAAAGGCAGATGCTCTGCTGGGTCCTAAACCGCCTGTGTGGACGGTGCTGCTGACCCAGGAGACTCGCAAGACATTGTCACCACGTCCCAGGAAAGTCACATTTATCCCCTAAAAAGTCTACAATTCTGTGAGTTCTCTTATTTAAAATATGTGGCTCTGGCCATATGTTTTAAATTGACATCTCTGTTTTCTGAAATGCATGGGGACCTGTGGGTTTTCTTTGTTAAGGCAGAAAAGAATCATGGGCACTCTAGTCTTGTATCTCATGGAAGGAGGAAAAAACAAAATAAACCTGTGACTCTACATCAAAGAAAATTAATGTGCTAACGCTCTCCCCATTTTACAGATGAGGAAACTGAGGCTCAGATAGGTTAAATCACTTAACCAGGTCACGTAGGTTGCAGAGTGGCTTTGACCCAGGATTTGAACCCAGCGTGCCTGACCCTAGTCTTTGCTCTTAATCACTAGGCTACGCACAAGCATCACTTAATTGTCAAAAAAACCCCTCCTAAGATGCGGAAACAGAGAGATGAAGTAATTTGCCCAAGCTCACACAGCCAGTTAGTGGCAGGGCAGGAGTCTAAACCCTTTCTGTCTGGCAACCTAAGCCTGTGAACCATCCACCCGTCCTGCTGTAGATCCTCCTCCCAGCCCACCTGGATGACCCTGCCCTGGGCTCACCTGTGCTCTTGCCCGAAGAGGCGCTCCACCTCTGCGCGGCCAGGGCTGCGGGTGCGGCCCCCGTTGCTGCATTGGGGCCCTGGATCCCTCTGGGCCAGCCTCCTGGGCGGGGGCAGGTCGGCCAGCACGGTGTACTCCTCCCTCTCCAAGTTGTGCCTGGTCTCCCCAGGGGGCGCTGAGCCCCGGGAGCCCCCAGAGCTGCCTGGCCGAGGTGAGGGTGTCAGGAGTGCCAGGTCGCTGGGTGGGTGGCGGGGTGGGGAGGATGCTCGAGGTGCATCTCGGTGCCCGATGCACACTTGTGGGGGCAGCACTGGGGAGCCATGCAGAGAGTCAGTGGAAGGGGCCAGGCTCTCCATACTAGTCCCAGGGGGGTCCTGGAAGAAGAGGGAAGGCTCGGGGGCCTGGCGTGGTGGGGACGAGAAGGAGGGGGCATCCCGGTGCCCTATGCACACAGGGGTGGGGATGTTGGGGGCTTCATGCAGAGAGTCAGTGGAGGGGACAAGGCTCTCGGTGCTGGCCCTGGGCAGATCCTGGAACAAGAGGGAGGGCTCTGGGGCCTGGCGTGGTGGGGACGAGGCCCGGGGTGCATCGCGGTACCCGATACACACAGGTGGGGGGAACTGAGGAGGGTCATGCTGGGGGGACTGGATCTCAGCATCTGAAGTGTCTGGGAGGAAGGGGAAGGGGTTGATCTGGGTGTGGCGGGGGGGTGAGGAAGCCCAGGGGGCATCCCGGTGTCCAATGCACACGGCTGGGGGCACACAGGGTGGGTCGTAGTGGGGCGACTCACTCTCAGATGCATGGGGTTCTGGGAAGAAGGGGAACGGGTCATGTTGCAAATAGCGAGGAGGTGAAGAGGCCCGAGGGGCATCCCGGTGCCCGATGCACACAGCACATGGAGGCTGGGAGGGCTCAGAAGAGGTCTGGGGTACCCCACAGGTAGTGGGGTGCAGAGGCGAGGAAGTCCGGGAGGCACCGCGGTGGCCCGGGCCATGGGAGGGAGCAGTGGCCCGGGATGGGAAGTTGTGCTGGGTAGGACCAGAGGAGGACTGGGGTGGGTCCCGCTGGGCTGGTCTGGGGGGAGATGAGGTCTGAGGCCTGTCACCTTGGGTTGGCCGGAGGGCAATGGATGCCCAGGGAGCCTCACTTCGCTTGGAGCGAGATGGGGAAGAGGTTCGGGGGCCATCACTCGGGGTCGGCCGGAGGGGAAAGGAGGCCCAGGGGATGTCCTTGTTAGTCCGGTGGGGTGAAGAATTCCTGGAGTTGTGCCGTTGAGCAGGGCGATGGGGAGGGGACAGTCCAGGATTGTCCTTTGGGGTGCAGCACCGAGGGAAGGAGCTTCCAGGGTCGTCCCGCCGAAAGGAAGAGGATTGCAGGTTGTCCCGCTGGGTAAAAGAGGTTCTGAGGTTATCCCATTGGGTACGAGAGGTTTTAGGGTTAGCCCGTTGGGTAGAAGAGGTTCTAGAGGTGTTCTGCTGAATACAAGAAGTTCTGGGCTTGTCCTGCTGGGTGGCTCGGTTGGGAGAGGAGGCTCTGGGGTTGTCCTGTTGGGCACAAGATGTTCTGGATTTTTCTTGTTGGGTGGCTTGGTTGGGAGAGGAGGCTCTGGGGCTGTCCCGCCGGGTGGCTCGGTTGGGAGAGGAGGCTCTGGGATTGTCCCGTTGGGCACAGGATGTTCTGGAGTTTTCCCATTGGGTGGCTCGGTTGGGAGAGGAGGCTCTGGG